GTACATAGATATTTACTATAAATCTAAGCGTACACATAATAAATTATTTTAAGTTCGAAACGGAGGAAAAATATTGGATTTTTAAAGACTTGATATTCTGCTGAGCGTATTTTTTTATCGCTTACTCGTCGATAAAACGTCATAAAATACGGTCGTCGTAATTATTATTGTCTACAAATACTAAACTATTAACGTTCAAATTGATGGTATAAACTATAAGTACCTACTTGAGACGTCTGACGGCTAAATGTATAGTATTATATAATTTATGTTTATAAATAGTTGCACAGGTACATAATTATTATATCGTAGACTGGATGTAGATACTAAAATTTAGACTCTGGTCGCCTCATGTTTAATCGACATAACTTAAAAATATTTAATGTTATTTTTGTGTATACACACAATGACGTGCAACGATAAAATAACAATAATAATCATAATACTAATAATGATGTCACGTGAGCCATGTGAAAATGACAGTTAAATATCAATTTATATTACTATCTATACGCTTTAAGCGATACAATTAAAAAAAAACTTTTATTAAAAAATTCCATACACAACTGTCCGGTATCTCCAATGAATTACTACACGTGATTTTATTGTTTTAGGGTACACGCGCGTGTACAATACGCACACAACAGATTTTTTTCCTCTCCATCCGACTCGAGCGTGTTATACCGTATCGAACTTCCATCCCTATACACGTGTATAATATTGTACAATATCATTAAATTATACATCCACCGCGATTTATGTCATTAATTTTAGCCGTTTGTCCTAACCCGTAAGCGTTTAACTCCGATGACGCGGTATATATTATTATGTGTGGTTTGGCGTTTATGTATAGGTAGGTATATTATCGTGATAACCGATAGATGTGCGTAGGTGTTATAACATACTGTATTGCATAATGTAACAATAAAATATTATATTGGTTATACAAAAGATAAGTGAAAAATGTTAATTCCACACATTCAGTTAATGTATGTGTTATGGTTTAGATTTTTTTTTATTAAATCTTTAAACTTTTCCTTACATAATTTCATAAACACTCGCCCAATATTAGGATACTAGTATAATACAATTGAAATCTTTTTAAGCTTTTTGTTAATATTTATTGATTTTTGTTGTTGTTTTGATAACCGTTATTGGTAATTTTGTATTTTAATACAGAATATGTAAAAAAAATTATTAAAATAAGTATACTAAATATAGGTATTGCTTAAGTATCAATAGCTTATTATATATATTTAAGTACTTAAATTGTGTTAATTTAGTATCATTAATTCATTTATAATCTTACTATCTAATTATATTAATTATTAACTTTATGATATAAATATCACTTATCACTACTTCACTATTACTGTATAATAGTAATATTGTAGATGTCAAGTCAATGTTATTGTTGAAATAAATACTAAATAGTATAACTTCAGGTGTCTGCGATTATATCGATAACAATAAAAAAATATTTAATTTGTTGTATGGAGTCGTGCAGTAATATTTTGGGGGTTTCCCCTACTCTCCTGCAATATACATCTAATTAAATTCTTATGAAAAGTTGAGAATTGTTGTTTAAATTATAATCTAAAGCAATTTATTTAACTTTATTTTAACGAGCTTTAAATATATTTTAATTTTCAAACACATAATTATGAGAAAACTATAAGTCTAGTCTTACGTAAGAAAACACTTCATGTAAGTATTAGATTTAAAGTTTATACTTAGTATTATTAAATGTTGAACACAGAGAATATCAATATCAATTAATTTCGGATGAAAAAAATAAGTGGGTGTAGGAAAATGTGTCATTATGTTGAATTCTCTCAATTGTTTAACGTTCAAGATTAAATTAAAAAATAAAATAAATGTTATGAAGATGGTTGGTAAGATTCAATAATTCAAAGATAATTTATACCTTATAATATTACATAAGTTATTTATAAGTTTATTTAATTTTTATTTACAAATTGCGAGTTAATAATTTTATGCTGTAATTTAATACTCTTGTATGGGTTTGATGGTTGTAAAAACTACTGCAGGGTGTTTATAATATATTTTGTGGGGGACGAGGTGACCGAGTGGTCTGACGCGTCCGCTGCGACGCAGCCGGTCGCGGTTCGATCCTCGGCCACCGGGCGGCATTTTTCTCCGGACAAGTCGCGGTGACCGGAGAACAAGTGCTGCCATCCCCCACCCCCGGGGCATGGCAGAAACCTACGGGTGCCCCATTCGAAATTCTACCAAATCAAACACACACGTGTTCCCCCCTACCGTCCCAAAAAAACCTACAATACAAACCTATACAACACAAAAACCCAATGGCCTATGTCGCCGAGGGCTCTCTCCTTGAAAAAAAAAAAAATATATATTTTGTTTGTTGTATGAGTACACAAAATAATGATATCCGGGAAAATACTGATCACGTTATTGACAATTCGGATTGAATACATAAAGTTTAAACCTAACATTATGTATAATAAATATAACTTTTGACGAGCGTGTTGGTGTATCAAACAATCGGAGGCCAAGTATTCCAAACGTCTTGTAAATCGGATACGTGACCTTATAAAAACGGTTGTAAAATTACAATATCAAAAAACAAAATACAAATCAGTGTTCTCACCACACTGCTGCTGTAATAACTGTCTCTCTCTCTCTCTCTCTCTCACACACACACACCCTCTGTCACCCTCTCTATCTGTCCTCTCTATATAATGCAATATATCAGCCTATACAACACTGCAGTCTTGACGGACCCTTCTATAGACGAGCGATTTAATATATGAAAAACGCAACAAGTTTCACAAACTTGGGGCGAAGCCAGCCCCATACAGGTGTATGCAGTATAAATATAATGCGACACGATGAGTCCCGAGCGCGTTATTATTATAACCGTTTTTTAATCGTCATGCGCTCGTTAGACGGCAAATATATGTATATCCACTGTAATTAAACTGCATTTTAAGCAGCTGACACATACATTTAATATATTATAATATCACGAAAACACACATAGATAATATGCTTTTCAACGCGATATTATTAAACATATTTTTTAAGTTTCGCGGGAAACGCGACTCACTAATACCGCGGTACAGGCGTTAAAACAGAAAGTGCGTGCGTGTATAGTCGCGGCTATGGAAAAAAAAATTGCGATACACTGGCCCCACGGCCACGGCCGCCGCGCGGATCGATTGCTGCCACCGTCGCGGGTGAAATTCAAATGCGAACGCCCCCGAGTCCTGCCGCCTGTAATAATAATAATAATAATAATAATAATAATAATAATAATAATAATAATAATTTTAAAAAAAAACCATAGCATCTCTTTACCGCCCCGCTGTATGAAAACGTAATTTTCCACCTCACTAGTCGTCAAAGCCTGTACCTAGGTCTCAAATCGAAATCGAACAAACTGCACATCATTGCGGAATGTAAAAAAAATAACTATATAGGTACCTACCTCCCTTTCGGTCTTTAAGAAATTTAAACGCGTTCTCAATACATATAAGTAAGTATAAGTAATATAAGTAACATATGCGTGTAACATATCGGTTATATTATTGTTATTAATTTGCGGAGCACAGTGCGTGCACATGTATTATTGCTGTTATGCGTATATTATATATATTTTATATACATATGTATATAATAAATATATGTATATATACCTATGCATATCATTATACTTTGCACTCGCCTGTGCCGTGTGCTGCGAAGCAAGCGGGGGTAAATAAAGTATACGGTTGCAGGGGCGTGGAAGGGGAAGAAAATGAAAAAAAAAAAGAGAGAGAGAGAAGCGACGAGGTAATCATTTCGAGGTCCGTAGGAAATCCCGATAATGGCTGTATATCTAAAGAGGGTAGATAGGACGCATGCTCGGGGGTGAACTCGCAGTCGTTGTCGCTGGGAGGGTGGGTATGTGGGCGAGGGTGCAGCTAGGGTGCGGTGGCGGATTCAGCGCGCCGCACGCCGTGTCGCCGCTCGGTATGGTGCGCTCATCCAGCCGCGGTGTTTGTGCGTCGCACCCCTACATCCCTCACCGGCCACCCTTGTTTGTGTAGTGCTCGTCTGCGTCCGTGTGTGTGCGCGCTCGCGAGCCAAACGGGCGCGCGCGCGTGTGCGTCGTATTAGTGTGTCGTATACGAGCGACCGTACCGCCGGTGGTGAGTAGTGTTGCACACGCGCGCGTACGGCGAGGAGTCACCGCGACGACGACTGACGACTTTGATAAATTTCAATCATAAAATTAAACGGTTAAAATAATAATAAACATTATATAAAGACGACGATATAATATAATATTTTTAAGTAGTAGTGTGACGAAAAAATTGTTCATAGATCGCGATCGTGCACGCATCTATCGATCATGCGGACGCGCCGCGGCGTGTCGTGCTCGCGACGAAGTTTCGCTCGGTGCCGCCGGAAATAGAGACTGCGACAGATCGTCGTGTACGACTCGCTCGGCGCATCTTCTTTCTACCAAACGTGCGGCATAACGTCATAGCGACGTCGCGCATTTGACTCTCTCGTTACGCGTACGTTACACGCTCGGCGGCCGGACATGACGGCGAGACAATAATTCATTGGTATTAACAATCGCGATCCCGTCGTACTCGTCCGTCGTGCTGTCGTATCACGTCGTAGCGGTGGTGCGCGGGCGGTGACCGCCGCCGCCGCCGGCGTCCGGTGCGTGCCGCCGCCCCGATCGGTGCCGCAGCGGNCCCGAACCGACTGATAAGACGCGATACCTAAAATTATTATTATTATTATCATCTACCCAATATTATGTATAATTAATGTGACCATATTATTGATTTCTTGAAAGCGGGATACCTGTAAGCTTAAATAACAAAATCATATCATTTTGCATAAAATGGCCGTCGTGAGCCGACCCGGCGGCGCGTAAAGCGCGCGGACGGCCGACGCCGCCGCCGCCGCTCGCGACCGCGTGCACCACCGGTCACTGCCGCGTCTGATGCTGCTGACGGGCCGAACATCCCAACGGGACCAACATTTCCCGGATCGAGTTCGTTGAGAAATGGGGGCTGACCCCTGTCCTCAAACCGAGACAGGACCCACGCCCCCGGGGTGCCAGCTTGGTAGACGGTGACGATGCCGGAAAGTACGTTTCGAGTCCGGATATACATAATATTAAATACTATTATCATTATCATTATCGTTATTGTTGTTATTGCTGTTGTTGTTGTTGTTGTTGTTGTTGTTGTCATTGTGTATTTCGGGTTTGCGTCATGTCGTAGGACCACCGACTTGCGGAAATATAGAAGTGTTTTCGTAATATTCCTGTGGTCTGCATTGAAAAAATCGCGAAAAAAAACTACGTCACACACTTTTTCCAATATATACGCTATCCTGTATAATATATTATTATAAATTTAGAGCTGGGTCGAACTTCAATTTTCAAGAACTCAAACTCGAATTCAAACTTTGTTATTTTTCTCGAACTCGAATCCATTATTTGAACGATTACTATTAACTCAAAATGTATTGACTACCTGTTTTTATTTTAAACAAAAAAATATCCAATTTAACTCTCAAAAAGTACAGGAAGTAAAAATTGTATTCTATTTAGGATCAGGACATTTTATAATATGATAATAGTAATAATAATAAAATGGTATCTATTTATTTTTGCCATAGGATAAAATATAATAATACACAGTATACATAACGTAAAGGGAAGCAGCAAAATCCAACCGTAAAGTAAAGCTTGAAAACAATTGTACATAATTCATGTACTCGTAACAGTTTATCGGTGTATCGAACTAGGTTTTTCTAAAACTGCCTTTTTAAATGTCCTAGTTTGAATTTGAAGTATTATCGATTCCTATAATGTAGTATTTATTAATTTGCAATTTCCAACGAAATTCGAACGGTTCGGATTTTTCAAATTTGGGGGGGGGGGGTTGTTCGAATGTGTTCGATATATAGGTTCGGTTGCCATCTCGTAAATGTATAATATACGTATACTCATAATATATATTTTTGCGGTTGAAGTGAGCTTGGGCCCGCGTCTTATTACGATTCGACCTTCATTGCAGGGTATTAGGTACCGGCTACACTTGTTTGGATCGGGGCAGTACAATTTATTTGCATACGATAACCTTATGCGGCCCGTGTGCGCTCGAGTCTGACAACGGCCGACCCGCGCGAGCAGGATAAAAATAAATAAATTCTCGCGCGTCTTCTCTCTCCCCCCACCCCTCTTCCCACCTCACCCCTTCTCGGGGCGCAATATATTATACTAAATCGTCTTTCCGACCGGCCGACTCCTTACGGGCCCGTTTTTCGCGGTTAATTAAATGTCGTATTTCATCATTTCCTCGTCGCCGCCACCACCGTCATCGGGCCGAGTGAAAAAAGAAAAACATATACACATAATATTATTATTATTCATTCGTCGCCGTTAATCAACCGCGCCCGTCGTCGCCTTTGCCGTTTTTTTCGTCTGCTGCAGCTGCTACGCAATACTATAATATATTACGATTATCGTATAACACTGCGAAATCCCCCCCCTCCCCCGATCTACAGACGACCGTCATCACAGTGCCTACACCTATTTACTGTCGAATACCAACCCGAACCGACTGATAAGACGCGATACCTAAAATTATTATTATTATTATCATCTACCCAATATTATGTATAATTAATGTGACCATATTATTGATTTCTTGAAAGCGGGATACCTGTAAGCTTAAATAACAAAATCATATAATTTTGCATAAAATGACAACACTAGAAATATAGTGAAGCTCAGTGCATAAATAAAAAAACATTAATTTTTTTAATAAAAATAAAAACAGAAAACTTAAATAATAAACTAATAGTAATAATAATAATAGAGTAAATTATTCGGCTGGTTTTCTATATTTCTGGATCCACCAATTAACCGAATAAGGCGGCAGATAAACTAAGATAATAAATTAATAAATACCAATATGTGTAATAAATTAATTGGCGATTCTCTCAGACGACGCGGTTGCAGCGATAAGTGATAACTATCTGCAGCTACAATTACGTACATTTTGTATTATTTTTGTCTATGGGCTATGGGTCTTACACTTTTACAGTACATGTATACCTGTCCACAGTATGACGTATCTATAAAGCTATAAAGTATAATAAGTATATACATATACAAAATAATGATTTTGATTACGTTAAATACTTACCACAGGTCCCCTTTCTTCAAAGTGGGACATTTTTAAGTTATTTGGGGGTAGCGGGACACAAAGCTTGAAAGCGGGACGTATGGTCACGTTATGTATAATACGCCCATTTGTTTTTATGACGATTTATTTTTGTGACTCACGACATGACAATGAAAAGCTTCCGTATATTATATTAGACGCACCATTTTAGTCTATATAGGCACAAAACGGTATTCGATAATACATCATTTAAAGTAATAATAATATAATCACACACTTTATTTTCGCAGAATCGATTTTAACGAAATCACAGTTCGCAACGTTTCGTTTTCCTTCGATAGTATTATACAATATATATTTCTATTTTATATATGTAAAAAAATTTAAACGAAGTAGTGTAAATACGATGTCATATGCAGTACAGTAGTATTCAAATGATTTTGTCATGGGGGCGTGGATATGACTGATTTTTAACATGCAGTATTTAATTATTAAAAATATAATTTACGGTTATCAGATATTAAATATTAAAAAAAAAGGTCATGATTGGAGATCTATCCCCCCTCCTCCACCTATTTCACAACCACTGATACTTTTTTCTTGGTTACATTTTTATAATTATGTTGTATACCAAAACATTATAGGTTATAGCCCCCTCCCATAAATTCATCACGTTACGCCTATAATGGGTTTATTAAATTCTATTTACACAGGTAATTAGGTAATCTATTTTTTTTATGTAACTCAGCATGTATTTTATTATGATTTAAAACGTAAAGCAATAATAGTTTTAACAGTGATGAGATAAATATTTTACCTTTACAGTAATCGATACACAGTATATTATATATTTTTAAGTTAACAATTAATAGTAATTTCTCGATTTTTACAATTTACCCAAATTTCGGGACTTTTTCACCCTGTGAACGTGTGTGACATAATGGCGCATATAAGATGTTGAGAAAATAACAACTTGTTCACGATATTGTTTTTACTGACGATAACTCGTTGAACGTTCATTTTAGCTAGTTCTGATAGTGGTGTGTGTGTGTGTGTGTGTGTGTGTGTGCGTGTGCGTGTGTGAGTGAGTTGTGTGCGTGTTTGTAGGTTCTTTATATTTCCTGACGTCGTGTTATTAATTTATCGCGTTGTTTTTTCACGCCGGTCGCCCAGAAAGAAATATAAATGATAAATCTGAAAACCGGAAAGTGGTTTCAGGGTCTTGGCAAACGTTTGGTATGAAATGTCAAGTGTATATTATATATTGAAGGAGCTGGGATAACAATTTATCGTCAAGCCCCCCGTACAAGTTCAGACCGATTCAAACAGCGAAATGTTCCATTAGGGTAAACTACTAAAACGTTACGACGCCTGAGATCTAGGTTTTTAATTTTTTTTTTTGGCACTATAAGTGTTCTAGTATTGTTTTAAACATGTGAAGGGAAATTCTGTCGGCCCAAAATATCTAGAAACCTTACAATACAACTGTGTTATACATTCTAAATTATCACTCGAACTTCAAATTTGTATTTCTATCTATGATCCCCGGCAGCACAATTTTATAATTTTATTTTTGTGTCGTTTTCCACATAGTTGAATTTAGTTTTCATCATTTTCTGTATAATATTATACTGAAATATAATATATAATTACCAGACCTGCTTGGGCTCTACCTCACTATTATAAATGCGGAGCATCTAGATAAATATTATATTAAATTTAAAAATTAATTTCCAAGCAATATATTTATTACCATCACCATAACGGACTGCGCGTTATCATCCCATTTGATATAAGCAATAGTGCGATACGAATGATACGATACTCTGATAACTCCTGTACCTAATAATAGAATATAAGTAGATATTATAAACCATGAGGCACGTGAATCGGTATATTGGAACTTGGCACAGTTCATAATAATGTGCGTACCTATCATAAATTATATATTCTAATTATCCCAACAAAACGACCGTCACATTATTAATTATTATTACTATATCATATTGTTAAACGGTTTGGAATAATATTATTATTATGGTATACAATTCGACAATATCGAGTCCTCACAATATTAATGAACTAACACACTATAACAATAATAATAATAGTATGTACAATTACAGAATTACGCGGTCATGTGTTCGTATAGATGAAATAAGACTGATTGAGGCCAAATTCAAATGCCATATTTCACGAACAACCCATTTTATGTATAGGCGTGAAATATAATAATATAATATAATATTAAGATTTATGCACATTGCATCATTATTATGCTGCATGCTGTTCGTTTGGTCTACAGTAGCAGACTTTTGTGTGACTCCATATTTTCATACACCTTTTTTATTTTTATTAAATATTGAATTTAAAATAGCCATCATTTTTATCCGTCTAGACACGCTGTAGCTATGTGCGAGTTTCGTTCGGACTTTTCGTAGCGGCGAAGACGTAAGTTATATGCAGGGTGGAATCATCGCTCGAAAACTACGTACGGTATAATAATTAATAATTATATACTGTGAATCGTAATATTATTATACACGCGTATTTGAGTGTCATGCATAATATTACCAACCTAATTAAGATCGTTTAGGACGAGTGATAAAATGTATTATATTGTATTACATAACTACTGTCTAGTTCGTTATAACTGCATATAATATATAGAAGCTTTGCGGCAGATAAAAGTATATATACGATACACTCGTACTTATACATCATACGCGTCAAGTTAAGTAGAATATGTTACTTGCAAATTTGATCAACGTACACAATATATTATGTACATTTATTTTACGTTGTTGTCTGTCTCGCCGTGTCAAAAATGTTTTTAAAACAACTATCACTGGTTTTTTTCAGAAAGCCACGGTTATTATAAATATTCATAGTGGGTAAACTTTTTGGGTTACCTAAGCTTAGAAGTCAAAAGTTAAAAATATATAATGGCTGATTTATGTAAATTATTTTAAATTAAATTATATCAATATCCATTAAATTTGAATACCAAATGTAATATACAAGTTACATGTTTAGAAAGGAAGTGGGGTGTTGAAATATTGTGCTTCAAGATTAAAACTAAATACAATTTTCGTTAAATGCAATTTAACAAAACCAAAATTAATAGGTACTTTTTTTCCGTATCAATAAATTTTAGTTACAATACTCCACAATTGAACTACCTATTTTTCAGAAACTACGTAAGTCAGTATAAGATGATTCGGAGAAAAAAGAAAAAACTGTGGTTATTTCCCTTCAATTATTGACATTGGTAAAATTAAATATTTTTTTTGCAAATGTTCACACATGATCCGTCTATCATATTTTGATGATGCATTCCACTCAATATCTCAATTTGTGATATTTTGTGACTTACGTCGTTCCTCAAATAGGTGGTTCAATTGTAATAATAGTATAATATGGTAGTTTTATTTTTTCAGTTAGAATCAATATAGATTTTTATTTTTGAACATGTTATTTTTATAAATATAAAACCAGCATATTAATACTTAATATATGTTCAAGTTTCAATTGCAAAATAATTTTTAAATTTTCGTGATTTTGAAGTATTTTGTCAAACTTTTCAACTTTAAGCGATTTTAAAACATATCTGCCCTTAGCATTGTATTGTAATCTGTACAAAGAAAAACAAATGTGTGATATTGTATGATATTTTTTAAGTTTTGACGGCACTTAAAAATTAAAAATAACAACTAAATTCAATCCGCCACCAGAAATCACTCCCAATTGTATTTTAAGAAGCAACAACAATAACACTTTATTTTGAATTAATTCATTCATCTCTCCGCTCAGAGTCTAAAAACACAATGGTTATACATTTCTCACATTCATATGACAAACCCATAGAATATACAAAAAGGTAGTATGTAGTAATTATTATGCATATTGTTATTTTAATTTAAATATAATTAAGGTTTCACCAACAAGGGCAATTAGCATACAATATAGATTATGTTTTTAAAATAAGTTGTGCAAAATAAGTACTTAAAGAAAGTTTATTTATTTGTTTATTTAGTATTTAACTTCAAGGAAAAAACTTTATGATCGGGGTGACTTGGGAGTGCTTCTACTTTTATACTGCATTGTGTGTTTATTTTTGTTAAGTGTTGTAAAATATTTTGGACATAATTCTATTGGACGTTTAAATCATTAATTGGTGGTATTAAGTTTCATAAGGTTTTTCCAAGTTGATATGTTTTCTTTGTGAAAAAAAGGTTTTGACGTTGGGACTTTCAATATTTCATTAATAGTGGCATTTAAAACCATTTTGGTCACCTGGTCGGCCATATAATTTCCATGCAATATAATATTATATATTATACAAGGAAATATAATAATTTTTTTAAGTTATAATTTGTATACCACCTACTCAAATTTTGTGTCAAATGCGATTTACTTCTATATGCTATTGGACGATCTACAGTTATGCTCATAAACCACGACATTCATATCGAATAACTCTGACATTATAGTAGAGATAATATTGTTTCGTGTAAACGGTTTCGACTGTAAACAACATGATAAAATAATAGTTAAAAAATTATGACCCTAACGTGCACTATTATACTATACATAATTTAGTGGTAAACTAACAATAGTGAATATGATCTGTTATTATGGTAGCCCGAACTAGAAACACAATAATAATGACATAATAACTACGCGTAACGCATAACAATATAAAATATCGTACAGTACAAGTTATACTATTTTTGTTTTACAAACGTGTCGACTAGAACACAATATAATTATAGTATTATAGTTTCCCCCTCCCCTTTTCCCTCTCTAAAAAAACAACGAAATGAAAACAAAAAAGGAGTCTATTTCCAACAAAAACCAAAAATTATGTGTATTTATATTATGTGACGTGTATACATGTGTCTGGGTGCATCTTCCAACTGAGTTTATACTATTCTGTTCAAATTGTAGGGTATTTTTGCCAACACTCTCCTTCTACCTTCCACCGTCTTCATCGTTGTTTTCATTGTAAATAAGAGAAGGGTGTTTTTTTATTATTATTTTGGTTACGTAGCATTTTGCTTCGTCGTCGTAACAGACTACACACACACAAAAAAAAAAACCCAGAACATAGTTTCGATAATCAGTCGGGTCGTGGCGGCGGCAGCGGTAGTGGTTTATGGGTTTTGTCGCCGCGCTGTCTGGTCTGTAGCGGTAACCACGGTTACCGGCAGTCGTGCCCCCGACCCACGTTCTGCAGTGGTTACCAAAACAATCGCCTCAGCAAACTTAGATAACAGACACATTAATAAACTGATTGTGTAAAGGTATCTATTATATGATTTATGATCTCGTGTATACATATATTGTACGTATATACTACGCGTAATAGAAAAATAGGGGTACGCGTATCGCTGCTGCAGTCGCACTCGATAAATTGTTTTTTTCCACTCCCTAACCAGCGCGATACCAGCATCACATGTGAATAGAACAATACAGTCAGTATTACTACCTACCAATTTATAAACATATATTATGATTATTATTATTTTCTCGTACTTTTCGCAGTCTCCATCCCTTCCCACCACATTCAAACCTTTTTGCACGTCGTCGTCGCCTAAAGAGGACTGATTGATGAGGACACACCGAATCTCGTAGCAGAAAACACATACCGTATACTATTTTGTGTTAAAAATATGTGCGCATTAAATTGCGGTTAGGTACCTAAATATACTCGTAGCCCTGGAACACAGGTCTCAGTCGATTTCGCAAATTTTTAACGGATTTCAGCATATTTTTATTATTATTATTATTACTATTATTTCATTCTCAGTAATTGGGCTGACAAAAACACGGCACAATATAACAACAACAGCTCGCTGGTTATTCCTAATATTTTCCGTTTTTTCGTCCTCTTTCACTTCACGACCAGACGTACTGCTGCGATGTATACGTCGTATAGCATTATTTATTTATAACTAACGCGCTAGTTGTATATATACATATATTTATACTTTAATACCATATACTATTATAATGCAATGCACACTAATAATAGGGTAGAAATCGAGATTGGGATAAACTAGGTAGGACGTTTTTTTAAACCAGATTTAATATGTAACATAATGTCTACCAGCTTATGATAATAATTATGTCATGTTTCGATGGATATTAACATGTACCTAATAGCTTAAATTATAAACTCATTTGGTAAAAAGTGATTAAAAATTCAGTTAGATCGATTAATGCGGTTTCTGTGAGATATCAGTAGTATTTAAATTTACCTACCTATATATAATGTAGTTAATATGAATATATTAAAATACTAAGACGTACCAAGTAATAATAATAAGAAATAGTAGTCGTTGTAACGGCTCTCAGAGGACTTCAAAGAGTAATAAGTGATCCAATAAACATTAATTTGTCTATAACTATTCTTCAATTCTCTTTTACGAAATGGCCAACATTTTTGCAACTCTTGCATATCATATTAATTTACATGGGTTGGATAATAAAATATTAATATAGGTCTTATTTTTAACATTTTTATTTATGTTTATCTCTCACGCTTATAGTCGGATGATTTTTATACTCAATAATTACTGTAGGACATTCACATTCAAATAAACTAGTCTCTGCTATCTATATTTTATAGTATAAATATATGTATATATTTAACAAAACTTAAAAATTTTAAACACCGTATGTATAAATAATGTTATAATGAATTTTCAAAAAATGATTCGCTTGTCAAGTTGTAAAAGACTCTTGAAATGATTTTTTATTCCATATCATAATAGACTACCAACTGCGTAGGCAGTAGGGACTGTATAAGAATAATTACCTAGGTACTTAATGCAATCTCTGTGACATAATAAATATATGTAATATATTATGTATATATTTTTCATATCTAAAGGTTAAACCTAATGAAACACATTCGAGAATCATATTGTACAGCGTTAATGTCTCTAGAGCAGTGGTCGGAAACAACCTGCAACCCTCATAGACATTTTATTAGGCCCGTGAGTAAAATTTATAATTTGTGTAAGAACCACGAACTAAGATATAGTATGGACTGGAAACGGCGGATTAAAACTTTGTTTGTCTGTAAATACCTTGTTAAATAATGTAGGTACCTAAAAGTTATGAACTTTAATAAAATAAATTTGATATGACTAGACATGTATGTTTAAAGACAAATAAGGTATCTCCAAATTGTGGCCCATGAAAAATGTATATTATTTTTTGGCCATTGAAAGAAAAAAGGTTAACTCTAGAACATTTGATAAAAATAAAAACTGACTACCTATTTTCATTATAAATTAATTCTACACGTTCTTTAGGTCTCTGCCGAAACTCAGTACCCAAGACGAAGACGGCTGTGGTCCAGGGGCAAATCTTGGAACAGGCCTCACACACGGTCATCCTCAACACTGTTCGGGGAGCGCGACATTCGAACCGATACCGCACGACCACGACTTTTGCGAAAGAGTAACAATCAACGTGAGTAAACAAACATAATATTATTATATTATAATTTATAATAAGTATTATAAGTATGCATATAATTTCGTCACCAAAAATAGTAAAATATACTAAACACGTTATTTTGTTTGATGCTTCTGCAAGGCATATTATATACTTACTTACTCGTCTTACTCAAACCCTAGGGCTATGACAATATTTGGTCTGTATTAAGCATATAATACTCTGTCATATTATGTGTCTGTGTGTGACTGTTGACTTAGTATATAATATCTTTAAAACTATAAGTGTATAAAGGGTGATCCATTTAACGCAGGACACACATTATTTTTAAAAAAAAACTTACGTTCTTGGAAATATTTTTTTACGAGATTTTAAATAACTACAAAGCTTCATTTTTATTATTTTTTATATTTATAATTTGTTTAGTAAAGTCATCTTTAAAGTTTTTTTCTCTATTAAATGATGACGTAGGTTTTAGTATAAAGTAGAATATTATTCGGAGTGTTTTGATCTATATAATTCAAATTTCGATCGATAGTAATTTATTAGTTAAGAAGAAGCATTTAAAGTTTATTTAAGCGATGAGGTGGTTTTCCCACTAATTGTGTGGTTTATCTACCTGCTACCACTACACTCTACTCGTCAACATTTTAAAAACAATATTCTACTTTGGAATAAAGAATCAAAATGAGCGTTGTTACAAAAAAGTAAAACCTATACAAATAAAAACTCGAGATAAAAAAGTTTTATTTTTTTAGAAACCTATCATAATTTCGTAATTATATAAAAAATTGTTTTATAAAACGTTTATAGTTTTTGAAATACCTAATAAAAAGTAAGTAGAATCGTATTGAGTATTACGTTCAACGGATTTCCCAGTTTAATAAGTGCGTACATGTTTGATAACAGCAATTTACGCAAATTCGATTTCTTCTGATGCTATAGCTCCTTTTTAGGCTAACGATTCGTTTTGACATGCGCGCGCTTCAGCCACAGTTGACTTTTCAAAACGGATCGTGATTGACGGACGCCGAGTGGTCATTGAGAAACGATAGTCATATATATCACTGTCCAAACAATTTACATTGAAATGACACAGCAGGCGTGCACACCGAAGGGTCGGTTTAGGGGTACAAACCTTTGGAGGGAATAGTGATCGGTCGGCTGGGCTGTGGATGAGGTGTCGGCTGCTGATGTTGTCAACACGACGAAATTACAAGAGAGCTTTCACGAAAACCACCTTCTCCTTATAATATCCTTACGCGCATATATTTTGTGTAGGGTTCGTGATAATATAGAGTGGGATCTGTAGGGGACGGAGGAGGTATCAATTACCCGTCAAGTTTAATTCGAAACTAGCATAATATATGTATATTGACATTTGACATCGTTGTTGAGACTTTCGATATATTTTGAGGAAACGCCAGTTTGTAATACTATACCCGCAGCTCCAACGTCTAGACCGGATATTGGACTTTTTAAACGGCTTTCTTTTATTATTATCTTTTTTATTATTCACACGTTGATGTGAAACATAATATAATAATAAATTGAGATCGCTTGATATTGTTAAGTGTGCACTCGAAACGTGTGTTCCCCGTGTAAAATTGTGTAGTACCACCCGAACTGCTGTAACTGAGTTTACATTATCGTGGAGGATTTTAATTTTTTACAAGTACCCTATATATTTAAAAAAAATGTATAGAATAGCAGTCACGGAGTCATCCTGATTACTAAACGAGAGAAAAACGCCAAAACAATCGTGAATGTATTATCATTGAGTAAAATTAACTTAAACGGTATTAAATATAACTATAGGTATACAGATATAAAGTATATTATTCAAAACTTATAATAATATATCTTAATATGCAGACGCATGTCGTTGTGTATGTGTAGTTACTATATCTACGTATAGAATGAAATCGCAATAAAAATGTTGTTGGTACAACTTTGCGCTTAAGTTATTTTAAATTGTCATAAAAATATAATGAATTACTCAATTGTATTCATTTATTTAAATTTAATTTAATTTATAAGTAACCATTAAAAAACCTGTATGCATTTAATGACATAAGCCATAAGGATAACTCAACGTGTTATAATATTATTTTTAATTAAAATAAAGTTTTTTTTATTCGATTGAATATATAAAGTTCAATGATAATAATACACTTTCGATACATACCAACTACTCGTATAATATATAGATATACAGGCTATAGGTATTATGTACTCGATATTTTAAATGCATCTGAGTGGTACAATAAAGTCGAGCGAAAAAAACAACAAACGACAAAATTGTAATAAAGAGCACAAGTGTCAAATTAAAAGTTTATTGTGAGAGTTATCTATAGAGCAGTGGTCAATAATGAAACTCCGTTCAGAAGTTAAGAAATGATATCCAACCGTGGTTTTTTTGAAATAAATTAATTTAATTTTGTACTGCATAATACGATCCTTGATGTCCTACCTGTCACCTGTGTAATATTATAGTCGAGGATGTATTTAAAAATATCGTTGATAGTAAAAAGGTGAACCATCGCAGGGCCGATCGACGTGATGAAAATTCTAAATAAAAACCCTGAGACGAATACGTCGGACATAGAATCGCATACGGCGGCTCTATGTCTATAATATCCGCGGGCGGGATCGTCATATATTATTCCTCTGTCGTTATGGGTCCAAAATGTTCGAGCGCCGATGAACTGCCGCTCGGGGTCCGTTTACAATAAACGCAGTCAGATTTCAAGAGGACTGTGTACGATAAATATTTCATACTGTGATATAGGTACGCATTATATTATTGTGTATAGGTACCTACCTACAAAATATAGGTATACTGGCACTTAACTTTTATATAATATAACGCTCGTCGTACAATGGAAGATGTGTTGGGGCTAAAGGTGGGGGAGGAATGGATGAGACGGCGTCCTAAATCGAGGGCGATTTTCCCCCCTCCTGCCGCCGACGCAGCAGCCGTCTCTCGGCGAACGTGAAGAGCCCTCGTGCGCATTCATTAGTCTCTAAAATCGGGTAAAAGTTTCGAGAGCGGAATTCACGACGCGCGCGAGTATAATTTAAAGTCCTATCGTTAATCATATTTTATATACCTACACAAACGTAAACGTAAGACACTCATTATTTCAAAAAACTATTAACGTTTTTGAAAATATTTTTCATTTGTAATTTTTCAGTCGTTATTGGACAATATTTTTCAAAAAAAAATTATATTTTTACTAATTTTTAAATATCTGTAGTACTTTTATGTTTAAAAATCGAATTTTAGACAAATAGTTTGCGTTAAAAGTATATAAAGTCTGGTGAGCGGTATTGACTTATCCAAACTCTAAACACTAATATCTCGTTCGAAATTTGATTATTTTATTACTTATCGAATTACTCTGAAAAATATCCTACTTGGGAATATGAAGTTAAAAATGTATGTTGTCATTCAAAAAAAGAAAAACTAAAAAGTATGGTAACTATAAAAAATAGTAAAAACTCAATTTTTTCCGAAAACGGAAGAATTGTAAAAAGAAGTACGGAGGGTACACTAATTATCTCAAAAAGTATGAACTTTTTTTCAATTTTTTTTTCAAAAACTTAAATTTATGCTTTTATAAAACTGTATATTATTTCAATTTTTTCACCCTTATATATTTATTGGTGAAACCGCTATCAACTTTTGATTTTAAAATGGGAACACATATTAAAAGGTCATACACCATTATAACTATTTTTTTTATGAAATTTGGCATTAAAATTTTTATTTTTCGTTATTTGGATTGCGAGATACAATCCCTCAAAGTTTGATGATTTAAGAACGTGTTATAGTCGGTAGTGATACAAATATCCAGTTATTTAAATAACTAGTTTTCTATTAATCATTCGTCGTAATTCGGTATGTCTAATAAGTCGATAGGCTAATAAATGATTTGGGTTCAAAGTACAATCGCTATCACTTATTAATTGTTACCTTGGGTTGAATGTTATCGAATTCATCACTTATAGCTCCTGGTATTTACAAATGAATGAATGACATAATCAACACCTGAAATCACCAAACTTTGAGCTGTACCTCAGGAACGAAATAACGAAAAATAAAAATTGTTATGCTAATATTTATAAAAATATGGTTTTATTAATTTATGACCTTTTTATCATATTATGTTCCCATATGAAAATCAAAAGTTGGTTGAGGTTTCACCAATAAATAAAAGGGTTAAATTTTTTTTAATATTATACAGTTTTAGAAAAGCATAATTCTAAATTTAAAAAAAAAAAATTCAAAGAATGTTAATACTTTTCGAGATAATTAATGTAACTTCTTAAAAGGATCAATCTCTATTGTAAAGAAATACTTTCAAAATCAGTATTGTTTGAAGAAATAATGAGTGCCTTACGTCAGGATCAACCCATATATTATATTGTACCTAGGTACGTATATACACGTTTTATGGTCATAATATAAACGCTAAAATTATTCGCCGCGTAACCATATTATAATCGATATAATATTTTTAATAGCATATGAGTTACCGCGGATATTCTGTGTAGGTGTACAGCATAATCGTACAAGATATTATGATAACATTTAACAGGAATATTTCATGGCACAAAGTTACGCTGCATCAACGGGTACGCTGTGATCGAAGTATTAAAGGGGTGGAACACTAGGAGATTATAATATGTTAATATCCCTTCTTACTTTTTTCAATTTCGTCCCCTCGAAACCCGTCTTGAAAAACGCTTTCTCTTCACCACACAATAAAATACAATAGTATAATATTATAATGGCGCTCGCTCAGCTTTCTATAGCTTCTATAATATAGTATATAGTTTCGAGTATTATATTTTTATATTATACAATTGGATTTAAAATTCAATTTTTTTTTTTTTTGAGATTAATTATTTTGGTTTTTTTTTTCAATTGCATTACCTGACGCTATAGTGCAAATAATATTGAAAATCGAAACTTTAAATGCGATTCCTAATAGTTCCATACGATAATG